CAGGCTTGGTAATGCGACCAATAAGGCAGGTTCAGCGCTACCAACACACGGACAACCACCGTTGAGGTCGGCTTAGCGAGCTGTAAAGCGCTCTGCTGAGGTTCCCATGACCAGGCCGGGTGAGCAAAGAAGCGACTCCGAGGATCGCCAGCAACAAGCCGTTCACCATGCTAAAATCCCGGTGCAGACGACCTTCGGCAAGCCGTCCAAGACTCCGGAAGCTAACACCTTCCTATATCCGTCGGGCCTCCCAAGCCACCCGGACGAAGCCGAAAAACCTGGGAAACACACTGGAACCGAGGGTCCCGGAGCAGTTCGAAGCTGCGGCCGCGCGGCAACGCAGGGGAGAGCTGCCACCAGACCTGCAGAACAAAAGATGCTTCATCGATGCCGCGCACACAAGCTACGCTTCGCCACGTTCAATCTTGCACAAAGCGGAGCGGGCGGGACCGACAAAATCAACTCCAACGGATACCGGCTCAACGAGATCATGGATGCGGTCGGGCTGATAAACTTCGAAGTCGTCGGCCTAGCTGAGACGCACACCATGAAGTCCCAGCAGTACACGTGGCCGAAAGGGAAGCTCGCAGGCGCTGAAATCCTACTCGTGAGCAGTGATGCGGGGCAGAACAACAGCACCATCGGCGGCGTGGGCTTCATCGTACACAGCAGCATCGCCTGCAGAGTCCACTCGGTCAACTTCCCTTCTAGTCGCATCGGAATACTGAAGCTGAAAGCGCCCGGCCAGCGAGTGCCGATCAAGATCGTGCAGGTGTACGCCCCGCACAGCGGATACGCGGACGAAGACCACGACCAGTTCTACCTGGACCTGCAAGCTGCGTTGGCGGAACCGTCGTGCAGGACAATCGTCATGGGCGACTTCAACGCGCGAACCGGCACTGGCGAGTTCGGCGAGCAGTACGTGGGGAAATTCAGTGCGGAGGAGCGAAATGAGGCCGGACAGCGCATGGTCACCTTTGCAGAAGCAAATAAGCTGTACGTGACGAACACCTTCTACCAGAAGCCCAGAAAGAAGCGATGGACCTGGCAGTCAGCAGACGGCGTTACGCGCTCAGAGCTCGACTACATCCTCTGCGATAACAAAAACTGCGTGCTAAACGTCGAGACGCTAGCGAGATTCGAAGCCCGAAGCGACCACAAAATCGTCCGAGCCACGCTGAACCTTGACCTGCCAAAGGTGAAGCGAGACAAAGCGCTGGCGGCAAAAAGAAAGCTACCGACAACGATATCGGACAGATTACTGCAGAGGAAAATCGCCGACGCTGACTGGAAAACGGAATCCTGCCAACGCGTCAACGAGCATTACAAGGCCCTGGAGAATACGCTCCTCGAGTGCGTAAAGGAGTCGAAAGTCAAGCGGGCGGCATGCCGGGAGCCAAGAATAACGGAAGAAACTCGAGCGCTGATGAGACGGTTGAAACAGCTGAAGCAGGACTCGAGTGATCCGGACGCGTGCCGCAGACTGAGCCACCTCGTCAGAGAGCGCCTTGTGCAAGACTACAACGACTACCGAAACCGGAGGCTAGTCGAGACGGCTGAAGCCCGGCAAAGCCTGAAGAACTGCCGGAGAAACCTAGCGCAAACCAGGCAGATTGCAGGAGCACTGCGCGACGAGGAAGGCGAGTTGCAGACAGAGCGAGAGGCCATCGAAGAAGTGTGTCGCCGCTTCTAAACGACGCTCTTCGACAGCAAAGTAGCGGTAGAGAGGACCGAAGAAGGCCCAGCAGAAGGGACAGCCCCGCTTCCCGTCGGCCATCTCGAAGTGGAAGTCGCGCTGAAGACGTTCAAAAATGGGAAAGCCCCAGGACCGGACGGCATCACCGCCGAAATGCTGAAGAAGGGCGGGCCTCTCCTGTGGAAGCGCATCGCAAAGCTCTTCACGCTTTGCCTCCGCACGCGACGGATACCGCTGAAGTGGAAAGAATCCCGGACCGTCTTGCTCCACAAGAAAGGCGACACGGAGGACCTAAAGAACTACCGGCCGATCTGCCTACTACCGGTAATCTACAAGCTCTTCACGAAGGTCGTCCTAAACCGGATTACCGAACAACTGGACGCAGCCCAACCACCAGAGCAGGCCGGTTTCCGAAGCGGATTCTCAATCTCTGACCATATGCAGACGCTGAACCAGATCCAGGAGAGGGCGCGCGAGAAAGGAATGCGGCTGTACCTCATCTTTATTGATTACGAAAAGGCATTCGATTCCATCGAGATCAACGCGGTACTAAACGCACTCACAAGGCAAGGCGTAAATCGGAGCTACGTAGACGTTCTGGAAGACGTATACGAGGCTGTACGACCGAGATCAAGCTCTTCCACGACGCAGTCAGTATCCCCATACGCCGCGGAGTCCGTCAAGGAGACACCATCTCTCCGAAACTCTTCACCGCTGCACTGGAAGAGGTCTTCAGAGAACTCAGGTGGGAAGATCGGAACAACTGCGGCATCACAATCGACGGCAGGCGGCTTACCCACCTGCGTTTCGCCGACGATATCGTGCTGATCGGCACTACGAAGAAGGATGTCGAAAGCAGACTGACCGAGCTAAATAGAGCCAGTGAATCCGTCGGGCTGCGCATCAACCGCTCCAAGAC